ATCTTGGCAAAAACTCATAGTAATTACTCAGGGGAAAGGAAAAAGAACAAACAAAAAATACATTAATGTGGTTGGAAAAGAAAATAAGAACATGGTGTTGGTGGAAGAGAAGGCTAAAGGTCTATGTCAGAACCACCCAAGTGCTTTTGATGTTTGACCAATCATTATCTTATTACGCTTCCTGCTATAGATGCAGCTGCAACTTCTGTTACAGGATGTTTAAAAAGATTAAAGAGAAGCTGTAGTAGGGTTCCGAGGTGATAAGAGCGCCTAGAATATGTATTTTTGGACGTTTAGAATATAAGTTCCTGTACATTCTTAAAATAAACCATCTATTTGTTTTTCTTTTTTTTATTTTTTAAGAAACAAGTAAAATTTGTATTTCAATATGGCTGCTTCCTGCCCACAAGAGATATAGAAATAACAGAGCAAAGAGGGGTTGGTGGTGGTTCAATCTGATCCATGTTCATTTTTAATCCCTATATTAAAATCCCTATTTAATCCCTTTGACTTTTATTCCTGTATTAGATAATATTTTACTTTTGTTAGATAAATATTTAGTATTTATTTAGATTAAACCTGTTTATCAGAAAATGGAATATTCTATTGTTCAAGTAGGTTGGGTGGAATATGTGACCACAATGACTTAATAGGAAGTTAAAGAAAGAAACAATTTTTGGGAGAGGAATTTGTGGAATTGAAGTTGGGATGGGCTAACCTGACTTAGGGTTAGAAGAGTGTTCTCAAACATAGGGAATGACGCACTGGTATTCAAGACTTCCTGCCCTGTGGGCTCCTTATTTTAACATACACCAGCCCTGGCTGGGTAGCTCAGTTATTTAGAGCGTCATCCCAATATGCCAAGGTTGCAGGTTCAATCCCTGGCCAGGGTACATACAAGAATCAACTAACGAATGCATGAATGAGTGGCACAACAAATCGACATTTCTCTATTTCTATTTATCCCTCCCTCTCTCTCTCTCTCTCTCTCAAATAAAATTTAAAAAACACATTGGTTAACTGACACCATAAATTTGCACTCGGTACCCAATAACAGGGTTTCAGGCATATTGTCAGAACTGACATAGTCATGAATAAGCTGCTTGTTACTTTCAGTTTTTTTTTTCTAGCAACTTAGGCCAATGTCAAGTGTGTGCCTGTGCACGCTCGTTCTTTCTCTCTCGGTGGGTATATATATTCATTTATAAACTGTTTTGGAAATTTTTTCTCTTTGAGAGTAAATTGCAGACATAATGCCCGGTCCCCCTACTTCAGGGTATATTTCCTAAAAACAAGAACAATTCTCTTTCATAAACACAGTACAATTATTAAAATTATGTCAATACTGATTCAATAATATTACCTAATCTACAGAGCTCATTCAAATTTTGCCATTTCCCCAATAATGTCCATTACAGTCAAAGAAAATTCCAGATCATACCTTGCATTCAGTTGTCAACTGTCTTTATTTTAGTCTCCATTAACCTGGAATAGATTTTCCATACTTTGTCGTCTCTCATGACCTTGGCATATTTGAAGAGTTACAGGCCAGTTGTTTTGTGGAGTTGTTTCTCAGCTTGGGCTGCCTGATATTTCCTTGTGATTAGATTCAGGTTATGCATTCTTAGCAGGAATACCACAGAAGTGACGTTGTGCTCTTCTCAGCACGTAGTGTCAGGAGTTGATTTGTTCCTTTATTGTTAAAATTACCTTCAATGACTTGGTTAAGATAGCGTCTATCAGATTTCTATGCTTTAAAGTTACTATTTTTCAGGAAGTATTTGAGATCTTGCTTCCCAGAATATGTCATAAGTTTGGCTCAACTAAGCTCTTAAAAAATAATTATTTTTCCCTTCATTGTTAACAAGTATCTTGTGGGGAGACATGCTGGGACTCTGCAAATATCCTGTTCCTCATCTAACTTCACCCACTATTGTTAGCATCCACTGATGATTCTTTTTTTTTTCACAATGACAATTTATTATAATTTGTTGGCAGCACAGAGAGCTATTACCATATTTTGCCATGTATAATGCACTCCCGTGTATAATGTGCACCCACGTCTTTCTGTGCATTAGACATGGGATTATTATACCCATGAATAATATGTATCCTTATTTTTTGCTCAAAAATTTGGGTGAAAATGTGTGCATTGTACATGGCAAAATATGGTAATTACCCAAACTATGTCTTCATGGAAGTGTGCACTATGTAGCTGTTCTATGGGAACTGTGAGCATTTAACATATGATCTTTTAGTTTGACCTTCTTTGAGTGTGATCTTTTAGTTTCTTGATGGTCTGCTTGTGCTGCTCAATTTCTTTCTGCAGACACTCCATCTCCTTTTATGGTGAGTGATCTCATCATCATTGTATTTCTTCAAAGCTGCCAGTTGCTCTCTAGTCCTTACTGGGAGGTATTGTCCTTCTTCTGTCCCCTGCCCTCCTGCGCCCTCCCTCTGTGGCCCCGTCAGCCTCCCTGACGGAGCCGTGTTGGAGCTGAAATTCTCTGACTTTCAGGGCTTGCAGGGTCCTCAATGCCCCACATGCCAAGCCTCATTCACACCAACAACGCTGTGACTGCCATGGTTGTCAGTCATTGATGATCCCTGCCTGAATCAGTTATTGCTGTGATGATTGTCAAATGATGATTTTATAATTCTATCACCCCTTCTATATGTTTTAGTTGGAATTCTACTGTAAGGAAAAGTTTTCTCTTCTCCATGACTTGTTTGGCTATTTATTTATACCAGTATGGACTCACAGATTCCTATTGTATTAACTGGGTCATAGTATGTTATCGACATTATTTATTGTGATGCTCAAATTGTCCCTGACTTGGATAGTGAGAGACCCTTCAAACTGTTCTTTTGTTATCTCCCAAAATTCTTTGAGCTTTCTAACTTCCTGACACAAGATATTCTTGTCTTTTCTTGGATTTTCCTAGCTCCAGCCCCCAAATCAGCCACTGCTCTAAGATACCCTGGTTCCTTTAGAGGAGCATAGTATTTAGAAAATTTGGGTTCTAGGTGTACTAATTTGTATTGGCATGTCATTGCTTATGGGCTCTCTCAGAGGGCAGGCTCTCTCTCACACACACTTGTAAAAACCAAGTGCATTGGTATTTCCAATTCCAGCCCAGCACCGCAGGGTTCAGGTTAGCCTTCCCCCTTCCCTAGTTATAACCCCCTTCTCTGACGGCAAGAAATGTGTGGAACTACAGTCTCCATTACTTCACTGAACCACCCCTATACCCACTCTTTCCTCTTGTTCACTTCAGTGCAATCTGTCAACATGAAGCCAACCTGTACGTACTCATGGGTGTCAAAATAACCTGAAGCCACTGGTGTCTGTGCTCATCACCCATGCTCACTCACTCTTCCTTTGGCCCTGATGTTGGCCATTGCAGCCTGTTATGCCTATACTAGAAATTCCAGCTGGCAATAGCGCCCGTCACCCCGGCCTTGCCCCACACAGTGACATGGCCAGTCTGGAAGGGCTGCTGTAAGGTGCTGATGGCTCACAGATGTTTTTATGGAAACTACTCTTTTGGGTATTACATGCCCTCTACTTTCCCTCCTTTTCCCTAGGATCCAAACATGAATGTGATCTGTGCCCAGAATCAACCCTTTCCTCCAACCCCGGCTGTGGTTGTCTCTTCTGATAGGATGAGGTCTTTTTTTAAACTTAAAAAAAAAATTGTCATCTGAGGATATGTTTATTGACCTTAGTGAGAGAGAGAGAGAGAGAGAAACATTAACTGGTTGCTTCCCATACACAACCTGACAGGGATTAAGCCCACAACCTAGGTATGTGCCTTGAAGAGGGATTGAACCCGCTATCTTTTGGTGAATGGGATGATGCTCCAACCAACTGAGCAACCCTGCCAGGGCAGAATGAGATCTTTCTTTATTTCTAAGATTTTATTTATTTATTTTTAGAGAGAGAAGAAGGGAGGGAGAAAGAGAGGAAGAAGAACATCAATATGAGAGAGAAACATCAATCCTCTCTCTTATATGCACGCTGACCAGGGACCTAACCTGCAACCCAGGCATGTGCCCTGACTGGGAATTGAACCAGAGACTTTCCCTTTGCAAGACAATGCCCAATAAACGTTTGAGTCATGCCAGTAAGGGCAGGATGAGATCTTTCTTAATCCTTCACACACGGGACCTTCAAGACACATGGAACCAACTCCTCCAGACTCTTCTGAGTACCCAAATGTGTCAGCTTAAATTCTCAACACTCTCCATCACAGTTGTTATTCTCTTAAATTATCCACATTAATAGTTTAATTCAGGAATTCTTGAAGACTATACCTCAGAAGCAGCACGGAAATAAAAGGACTACAATCCTGTCCAAAGTAAAGAACTCCCTCTTGATTTTCCTGGCTGGAGGAGAAAGAAGGAAGCCTGGGAAGCTTTCAACGTGGACTGCCCTGGGCCACATTTGATCACAATGACGCTATTGTCTGGCAAGCCTCTTAGAGTACCATCACCAGGGTGTGGATGTTAGGCTGTTCTTACAACAGTGCTAATAGACACTTAATCTATCATTCTCTGATTTCTCTTGTTCCCAACTGCAGGCCTCGAAGGAGGGCTGGCCAGGTTAGCAAAGTAGCCTGTGGCTATGAGCCTGAAGGGTAATGACCTTGATGTCATGAGACTCCTCTCTATCTACTGAGCTAACGAGTCACAGATGTGTTACATTTGAACATTTCATTACTAAGTTGGTGCTTAACAATATGCAATTACTTTACTGCAGTAGAGATGAAATCTGATTACATGAAAGATACACATGTGACAGGTAATTCTGCATTAAAGCCAGAGTATATGAAATCTTCAGCATTACAGACATTAACAACAGGCTCTCTACTGTGGTTACTGAAAACGTTTGCCAGAATGTAGGCTTCATGAGGGCTGGGAGCTTTATTTTGTTTATTGCTCTATTTACTGTATGAGTATGCCCATATCATAGTAGGAGTTTAGAAAATCTTCGTTGAAGGCTTGCCTGGCAGGGGAGATACCATGACCAGTTTTCCCAGGGCAAGGCTTTCCCACTGCCCTGCGGATGTGCCGACCCCTGTGGTTTCCCCAAACGTGAGAAACTCAACTGCATAATTTGTGTTAGTGGGGAACTGCGTTTGCGCTCTCCCCTGAAAAACAACTTTGTTGAACGTAACAAAATGTTCTGTGGTATAATAGGAGGAAATTAAAATGATTAAATGAGCCCTGCCTGGCAGCTCAATTGACTAGAGTGCTGTCCCAAGACACCAAGATCGTGAGTGTGACCCCTGGTCAGGGCACATACAAGGGTCAGCCAATGAATGCATGGATGGGTGGAAGACAAATCAATGTTTATCTCTCTCTCAAATCGATAAATTTAAAAAAATTATTAAATGAAATCCTGAAGTGATTATTGCCCAATTATCCATGTTCTAAGTAATATCAGTGAGAATACTAAGAACTTGGAAAAAGACTACTATGAATGTGGCCTGAAGAATCAAACCTATCTGACACTAATATAAAATACTGAATGACAACTGTAATTGGAAAAAAAAGAAAAGAAACAAACCTCCCCTTCATTGCCAGTAGGTAAAATGTTGGGGGAAAGTATAAGTCTTACTAAGAATTTACCTAGATCTTTAAAGGAACATTTAAAAACTTCATGTGTTGTGGGAGTAGCTAAGTGAGTGGCCTATTATAACTGAAGATTCAAAAGACAAAGTTGAAAAGCAGAAGGGGGAAAAGGAAATACGTTCACGTAGTATAGGATACAGCATCCCTTACCCACAGGGATATGTTCCAGAACATATGTTCAGATTCCCTCTGGATGCCTGAAACCACGGTAGCATGGAACCCTATATATACTGTGATTTTTCCAATACATATACACCTATGCAAAACTTTAATTTAGAATAATGGGGGTGGCTGCAGTGAGGTGGCAGGCCCAGCTGCACCAGGCCCGGGGACGCGCCTGTAAGATGTCAGCCACTAGGTGAGATGGGGGCCAGGTACTGCTGGGAGTGAGGTCGCAGCGGTAGAGGGGCTCTCCCGCACTCCCCTCTGGCTCCTCAGTCTCCACTGCAGCCCCTTGCCCCTGTGTCCCACAGGACCGAACAGCGACAGTGTGCGCATGCGGCACTGGGTCTGGTAGTAGCTGGGTTTGACCCCTGCCCCCGTCAGAGTGACGCAAGAACTTTTACCTAGCCAACAGGTTTCCTCAGAATGGCCTTTACATTCTTCAGAAATTTCTAGGTAACCGGATCATTTCATCTGAGTATACTGTGTGGCATTTTGTTCCAAAGAACTTCTTTGAACACTTTAGAAGAGTGGCAAACTTTTATTTTCTTACTATATTTTTGGTTCAGCTTATGATTGATAATACACCTATCGGTTCAAGTACCAGTAAACTTCCATTGTTCTTTGTAATAACAGTAACTGCCATAAAGCAGGGATATGAAGACTGGTTACAACATAACTCAGATAATGAAGTAAACGGAGCTCCTGTTCTCCTGTTTGTTGTTTGAAGTGGTGGCTTTGTAAAAACTAAACGAAAAAGCACCCAGGTGGATGATAGTGTTCAAATAGCCAAAGATGAAATTTTCCCTACAGATTTGGTGCTTCTGTCCCCAGACTTACTTGCTGGTTTTTGTCACATTGCAACTGCTAGTTTGGGTGGAGAAACTACCTGAAGACACATGTGGCAGCTCCAGAAACAGCAGTATCACAAACAGTTGACACTCTTGTAGCTGTGATGTCAGAACCAGAAACAGACTCATACAGATTCATGGGATGAATGGTAATAATCCAAAAAATGGAAGATGTTGTAAGACCTCTGGGGCCAGAGAGTGTCATGCTTTGTGGAATCAGATTGAAAAAAACCAAAGAAATTTTGGGTGTTGCTCTATATTAAACACAGGAATGGAAATAAAGATGGCATTAAATTATGAGTGCCATCACAGAAACGATGTGGAGTAGAAGAGTCAATGGATACATTTCTCATAATTTATCTAACAATCCTTATTTCTATAGCCATCATTGGCACTAAACTGAATCATCAATTCTCCCTATGTATAGGTGGACAAATAAAAAAACCCACAATTCGTGTAGATGAATTTGCTTTGAAAGGCTTAAGACCTCTGCACATGGCCTACAGACAGTTGACAACTGAAGAGTATGAAGTAATAGATGCCTATTTGAAGCCAGGACTGTCTTGCAGCAACAGGAAGAAAAATTGGCAAATGTCTTCCAGCTAGCTCATGGGGAAAGACCTGACATTACTTGGAGCTATAGCAGGAGAGAGACTACAAGATAAAGTTCAAAACTATTGAAGCACTGAGAATGGTTGGTATCAAAATATGGGGTACTTAACGGAGATAAACATGAAACAGCTGTTAGTGCGAGTTTATCATATGGACATTTCCACAGAACCATGAATATCCTTGAAGTTATAAACAAGGAATCAGTGAATGTGCGAACAGTTGAGGTAGCTTGCTAGAATTAGAGGATTGCATGAATTAGCATGGGCTGGTGGTAGATGGGACCAGTGTATCTCTTGCATTCTGAGAGCATGAAAAACTATTATGGGTGTTTGCAGAAATTGTTCAGCTGCATTGGACTGTCGTATGGTACCACTGCAGAAATCCAAGGTATAACCTCACCTGAGAAACCTGTAACATTGGCTATTGGTGATGGTGGTAATGATGAAAGCATGACACAAGAAGCAAATGTTGGTATAGGAATCATGGGTAAGGAAGAAAGACAAGCTGTAAGAAACGAGTGATTAAGAGAGAGATCAATTTGTTCCACTTATTGATACATTTATTGGTTGATTCTTGTAAGTGCCCTGACTGGGGATCGAACTGGCAAACTTGGTATATTGAGACCACAGTCTAACAACTGAGCAACTTGGCCAGGGTGAGAATATAATACTTTGATCAACAGCAGATGGATTGATCTTAATAGTAATATGAATTTGTGCAGCAATAAAGGGCATGGTGACTCCTTCAAGCCATGAGTATATCAGCACTCCGTGCACTGCAATCTGTAAGAACAATAGACAAAATGTCGATTTAATCAGGGATGACATTACCCATAAAGCACGTCATAACCTCACTCTTGTATCTATCTCTTTTGTATACCAGGTCACGAAAATAGAGTTCCTGGCTTGTTGCTTTAATGGTACTTGATGTTTGGAATTTATTTAATAATGAAAGCCCATGGGCAACATTGCTTATTTCAAATATTGCACTCACAATTCTTGGGTATAATGGAGTCATAGATACTAGATCAGCTACAAGAACTGAGGACATATCTTAGTGATGTGGCAAACAGGTCAGATGGCCTCACAGATCTGACATTAGACAATATTGCATTTTCTACCCATTCTCTTAACACTTTCTCAGGGTGTGCAATGTTTAGGCAGGTTGGATCAGTAGTAAGTGCTATATTCCTCCTTAAAAATGGAAGAGAAATTTGAGTAAGTTGGTGAGATATGCCCTCTTCTACTCCAGCACTGGTGACAGCAACCTGCAATGGTTGTCGATCTGCCAGTCCAAGGAAGAGAGTAAATGGAGTAACTGTAACCATCAGCAGCCTAACAAACAGCGGTCCAATAACGGATGAATTGATGATGTGGCTCACATCCTTCCATATTATTTGGTCAGTTTGGTGGTAAACTCAATGTGAAATGTCAGTTTGATGGTAAATTTTATAACTATTGTTGTCCATGGTATATGGCCTGCTTTGGCAGCTGCCTCTCATGATGAGACAATACATGAAATCTTGGAATAGATATTGGGGAAGATCCCACCAGTGCTATCAGAAACACATGACATGATCTTAAACAAATTAGGTGCTATTGTTCTCTGAAGATACTGCCATTTTCCACAGTTGTCCAATCACTTGCCCAACATTCTTCCTTTTTAAAAGACATGGCCCATCGCTTCTGCATGTTTTCGTATTAATTCCAGCATGCTATCATGGACTCGTTCTTTGTTCAGAACAGGTAACAACTATTGTTCGGTTGTCAGCCTGGTCAAGAATAACACCCTTGATCTCAACTTCTTCAAAAGCTGAAAAATTTTGAGTAAGAGGCCACAAATTTTGTCTCACCCCTTCTCCAGGACAGCTGGCACCGTGTATGCAGGTTCTTATGTCCTCCACAGGCAATCCATCAGGTAACTGCCAGGGAGGGTTGAACTTATCTTGTGTAGTAAATGTGGTATATCTTAGCATAATGTTCCCTGTCCTAAAGAATTTGTCACATCCAAGAAAGACATCTGATTCTGCACACAATGCATACTGGATCTCTGGTTAAAGTAATTACACCATGATGAGGAATCTAGATTGATAACAAACTTATTAAGTATTGTGGCAATATGAGATAGTTTTGCAAGAACAAGATTTAACTGCATTTGGATTAGTGGCATTACGCATTCTTTGATATAAACCTCTGCTACAACTTGATACACTTGGTGATGTAATTATTTTTTAAAATCTTTTTTTAAAAATATTTTATTTATTTACTCTTAGAGTGAGGGGAAGGGAGGAAGAGAGGGAGAGAAACAGCAATGTGTGAGATACATTGATAGGTTGACTATCACACACCTCCAACTAGGGACCTGGCCCGCAACATGGGCATATGCCTTGACTGGGAATCGAACATGCGACCTTTTGGTTTGCAGGCCAGAGCTCAGTCCACTGAGACACACTGGCCAGGGTTGACTGAACACTAAAGAATCTTGCTTTTCTCTTGAGTTCTTTCTCCTTAGGAACCAGAACTGTGAAACACATTCCGGACTTCAATTTCCCTACGCAAAATGGAGCCAGCATTGCAGGAACGTTAACCAAATGACCATCAACTAAAGCTTTGACAAAACGTTTGAGGCTGTGTTTGCTGGATGTTGTATGGGTTGCTTGTTCTTTTCTCTGTATGCTACAATGTTAAATTCATACTTCCAGTGTTTCCTTGACTCTATTATCAATGTGTCAGATAACAGATCATTGATATCTGGATTTAGATCCAAGGAGGTAGATGATGTGTCTAAGGAAACATCTTGGAAGTCATCATATTTATACTGCCTTGACTAAGCTGCAATAGAGCATTAGTGGGCAAGTCCTGGTAACAAGATCTTTCATGAAGGCCACATCCCAT